CGGACCTGCACTTGGGGTGAGCGTAGGGCGGCGTATGGTCATGTACTCCCATAGAGAAGGACAGGGGCTGCGTACTAATCACACGCAGCACCTGTCCTTCCTGGGAGCTGCCCAATACGGCCGTGCACGTTTACCCAAATAGAGCTTTCTTTTGGTGCTATTTGATCGCTGCTGGTTTTTATTAAAAATTTTATATAAATGAAAAAAGACAAAAAATTGTGGAAATAAATATTTTCAACTTTTTGTTATACAAAATATCAAATAAAATTACATTTCTTCCTAAAATTAGGCCAAAATGTATTCTGCTAAATATTTTTGGTAAAAAAAAAATCCCAATAAGTGTATACTAAGTGGTTTGTGTGAATTGGTACCAATTATAAGTCTTTTGAAAGCATGGTTTTTATCCATATGGTGTCGAACAACAAAATCGGTATTGCTCAGGGTAAAGGATTAGTTTAGGAATGATATGGCCGGTATATTTTTTTCAAACCTTGGTGTGTCTGCTACATAAAAACTTATAATTTGAGGAAGCTTAACCCCCCCCAGGAAAAAAAATTATCTATGGCCCTGACCATATATACACTTATTTGTGAAGTGTAAGGAACTGGAAGTGCTTTATGTGTAACTCTAGAAAATCATTTTCATGAATTGAATAAGGAAAATATTACCTTACTACGCAGATGTTGGCGCTTTGAATTCTTACTCTATGCCAAGGGCAGCGCTCAAGCGTAATCGTGCTGCTTGAATGATATCGCCTTTCCGGAGAGAGATAAACAAGAGACTTAAGACATAGAACAGCTACATAGAAGAGGATACCACATATCCACTTATTTGTGAAGTGTAAGAAACTGTAAGTGCTTTATGTGTAACTCTAGAAAATCATGTTCATGAATGGCAGGGCACACCATATATCCACTTATTTGTGAAGTGTAAGAAACTGTAAGTGCTTTATGTGTAACTCTTGGAAAGAATTGTCATAAATGGCAGGGCCTTCATAGACCCAACAATACAGGGATGCCGAATGTGGCTACAGATCCATGATGTGTAACGTCCCTGCGCTCCGTGCCGCGTCTCGCTTGCGTTCCAGGGTGGAACGCAGCAGAGGGAGTAACTGCCGAGGGTTTCCTCCCCCATTAGCGGAGGTGCTATGCGTTCCACGCTGGAACGCGGAAGTGCGCCGCGGCCGCGTGACGTCACGCCCGCGGCCTATTTAACCTAGTCTGAAAGAGGAAGGGTGTTCACTATTGGGTTTCTCATGCCCAAACACCCTGGAACTACACAGCATACAGCCAGAATACTGACCAGGACCTACTGGAGGATTTCCCTGAAGCTACCCGGCATCCATGTCCCTGCTGACCCCGTCACCATAAGCGCAAGTACATTGGAAGCCCCCTGGGCTCAGTTCATGGAACTCATGGACTGCCTAAAACCTATAGCTATGTGATGTCTTATATCTGGACTGCCTAAAACCTATAGCTATGTGATGTCTTATATCTGGACTGCCTAAACCTATTGCAATGTGATATCCTATACATGGACTGCCTAAACCTATAGCTATGTGATGTCTTATATCTGGACTGCCTAAACTTATTGCAATGTGATATCCTATACAAGGACTGCCTAAACCTATAGCAATGTGATATCCTGCTTATTGACTGTCAAAATCTCTAGTAGTATAATAACATAAATCGGGAATGCCTTAACCTACGTTATCGTTATACACACAGTCAGTGTATAAGGACTGCCTAACCTAGAAGTTAGTGGGCTGGAACCTGTCCCCTGGGATCCACAAGGGGTTATGTCCTAATAACTCCTCCTCCTTTAGTTTCTTGGTTTTGTTTTTGTTTGTACGGCTGATGATGCAAGAACCCCAAACTCTCCGCCTGTGACTGAGAGTGACGCCTGGGGTTCGTGACTGAGTGCTGTTTTTCCTTCGATAAACCTTGATTCCGCAGTTGAGATCCACCTCAGGTTATAGAAAAACCATCGGGCGTGACATGATGCTACATAGTTCCATATTACTCATATAAAATAAATGTAAATTAATGGATTGGCTCCATTCTCAATGATTTCTGCGATGTCTAGTGAATGGATAGGCTGCATTAAAAGGGATGTCACTGGTTTCTAGTGAATTGGTAGGCTGCTTTCCCAGTGATATCACTAATCTCTAGTGATTGGATAGGCTACATCTAAGAAATTTGTACCTACTGAATAGAATTGAATTAGAACAAATGATTACCTTACTAGCTTCTCGCCTTGTAATCTTTTACAATTGCAACGGAGGTGGCTAGGTAGAATCCACTTCCTAGGACAGCGACAAAGGGATAGAGCAACAAGTCATATTGCAGGCTGATAAATATGCGCTGGACTGCTGGTAGGACTGGTGCTTCTAGGCCGGCCTCTTTGTCTATCTGGAAAGAGAGAAATATATATATTTTTTTTAAAGAATCAATCTTCCATGCTCATTGCCCTAGGCCTGACCTGGAACGTTTTCATAAATTCCAAAAACTGGTCATCCAGAGGGAAATCTGAAAACCCAATCTAGAATCCACTCAAGTGCAAGGCTAACATCTCACACGTGTCTCCATAGTGAATAACAGACAATTGGGTGAAAGTGACATTTAACATAGACTTACCCAGTGAAAAATGGTGGCACTTGATAACTGTCCCAGTACATTAGTAGAAATTAAATGCAAGGCTTTGGCTAAAGATTGAGTTTCTGGAGCCGACACAGACTGAAAAGAGAAGAGTTCGGTTATTAGTTATAGCAATTCACTATAAGTGGTGTAAGCACCACTATGCTCTAATCATTACTGAAGGCCTGCTAATCATCATTTATATCTCCAATAGCCATTTACTATAAATGGAAAATATACTG